ATATAAATATAAATATAAATATAAATATAAATATAAATATAAATATAAATATAAATATAAATATAAATATAAATATAAATATAAATATAAATATAAATATAAATATAAATATAAATATAAATATAAATATAAAATATAAATATAAATATAAATATAAATATAAATATAAATATAAATATAAATATAAATATAAATATAAATATAAATATAAATATAAATATAAATATAAATATAAAAATATAAATATAAATATAAATATAAATATAAATATAAATATAAATATAAATATAAATATAAATATAAATATAAATATAAATATAAATATAAATATAAATATAAATATAAATATAAATATAAATATAAATATAAATATAAATATAAATATAAATATAAATATAAATATAAATATAAATATAAATATAAATATAAATATAAATAAATATAAATATAAATATAAATATAAATATAAATATAAATATAAATATAAATATAAATATAAATATAAATATAAATATAAATATAAATATAAATATAAATATAAATATAAATATAAATATAAATATAAATATAAATATAAATATAAATATAAATATAAATATAAATATAAATATAAATATAAATATAAATATAAATATAAATATAAATATAAATATAAATATAAATATAAATATAAATATAAATATAAATATAAATATAAATATAAATATAAATATAAAATATAAATATAAATATAAATATAAATATAAATATAAATATAAATATAAATATAAATATAAATATAAATATAAATATAAATATAAATATAAATATAAATATAAATATAAATATAAATATAAATATAAATATAAATATAAATATAAATATAAATATAAATATAAATATAAATATAAATATAAATATAAATATAAATATAAATATAAATATAAATATAAATATAAATATAAATATAAATATAAATATAAATATAAATATAAATATAAATATAAATATAAATATAAATAATATAAATATAAATATAAATATAAATATAAATATAAATATAAATATAATATAAATATAAATATAAATATAAATATAAATATAAATATAAATATAAATATAAATATAAATATAAATATAAATATAAATATAAATATAAATATAAAATATAAATATAAATATAAATATAAATATAAATATAAATATAAATATAAATATAAATATAAATATAAATATAAATATAAATATAAATATAAATATAAATATAAATATAAATATAAATATAAATATAAATATAAATATAAATATAAATATAAATATAAATATAAATATAAATATAAATATAAATATAAAATATAAATATAAATATAAATATAAATATAAATATAAATATAAATATAAATATAAATAAATATAAATATAAATATAAATATAAATATAAATATAAATATAAATATAAATATAAATATAAATATAAATATAAATATAAATATAAATATAAATATAAATATAAATATAAATATAAATATAAATATAAATATAAATATAAATATAAATATAAATATAAATATAAATATAAATATAAATATAAATATAAATATAAATATAAATATAAATATAAATATAAATATAAATATAAATATAAATATAAATATAAATATAAATATAAATATAAATATAAATATAAATATAAATATAAATAAATATAAATATAAATATAATATAAATATAAATATAAATATAAATATAAATATAAATATAAATATAAATATAAATATAAATATAAATATAAATATAAATATAAATATAAATATAAATATAAATATAAATATAAATATAAATATAAATATAAATATAAATATAAATATAAATATAAATATAAATATAAATATAAATATAAATATAAATATATAAATATAAATATAAATATAAATATAAATATAAATATAAATATAAATATAAATATAAATATAAATATAAATATAAATATATAAATATAAATATAAATATAAATATAAATATAAATATAAATATAAATATAAATATAAATATAAATATAAATATAAATATAAATATAAATATAAATATAAATATAAATATAAATATAAATATAAATATAAATATAAATATAAATATAAATATAAATATAAATATAAATATAAATATAAATATAAATATAAATATAAATATAAATATAAATATAAATATAAATATAAATATAAATATAAATATAAATATAAATATAAATATAAATATAAATATAAATATAAATATAAATATAAATATAAAAATAAATATAAAGATGAAATAAAATATCTTTAATAACGCTCTTCTTCCGTTTGTGTGGCATGAGCTTGTCTGCCCTGCAGTCAGTTCATACACACATATGCACACTTATCGATAACTTAAATACTCAATAATATAGCTTACATACTACTTATATACTACAATTCGGCCGTCCTGACAAAAAGGATCACCCGATTCTTTCGTAACGTTTCAAATTTTAGTTGAATTTCTAAGGTTATATCTTTTTTTAAAATTATTATTGAAGTTTACATCTGTACGTTTACTTTTAGGTTTCTTTATATTATTCTTATCGCTATTAATCAAATCATCATTTAGTTTATTATTATCATTTAAATTGTTTTGGTTTTTTGAATTTGAACATAAATTTTCCAAAGCGTTATTATCTAAATTTTCTGCTATTTTATCAATTTCTAAGTTATTATCAATTTCTTCTAAATCATTAGAGCATACATTTTGTGAATTATTTTTATTAAACCAAGGCTTAATGTTTTGTACAGACCAAATGCCTTTGTACGGTATCTGTGTTTGTTGGAATCCATCGACATCTTTTAACAGAAAACGATCATTCTCTAATATTTTTGATATTTTATATGGACCCTTAAACTTCGGTATTAATTTGCGCGGTACACCTATATTACAATCATAATTTTTTATTACTACGTAGTCACCTAATTTATACTTTATTGAATTTTTTCTTCGTGAATTTATATACTTTTCATTGTATTCTTGAGCTAACTTTTCATTTGTATGTGCTTTATCTCTAATTTCTGATAGGTTTCTACTAATGTTTTCAGGTTCCATAATTTTTTCTCTAATGCTATCCATAACTTTGCCTTTTTGACTGACACCAAACAACATAACGCTAGGGTGTTCATTTATCATTCTATGTTTTGTATTATTAAGAGAAAATTCCACCGTTTCAATGACTTTGTCCCAACTAATATTTTTATTAGAGTCACTAAGTTTGGCAATCATTGGGCCTAAATTCCTATTTACTCTTTCTACTTGTCCGTTAGCTTGGGGTGAACCTGTAGCTATCCTAATGTGTTGAACGTTATTTTCTTTTAAAAACTGATCGAACTCGCCTGAAGTAAAAGCTGTTCCTCTGTCTGAAACAATAATCTTTGGTCTGCTATAATAACGGAAATATTCTCCTAACGCGGTAATAACTTCTTTTGTAGCTGTAGTTTTCGTCGGATATAATTTAACATATTTAGAACACGCATCTATAACAACTAGTAAATGTTTTTTAGAAGAATTTCGATCAACAGGACCATAATGGTCAATATGCAGCATTTCAAACGGAATTTTTGCTTTAGGAATATTGTGCAGGAAACCTTCCACTTTACCATTTTTACATGAAAATGCAATGCACTTAAAACAGTTTTTAATGTGTACATCAATTTTAGCATTCATTTTGGGAACCAGTAATTTTTTCGAATTAATTCACTAACTTTATTTATACCTATGTGACCCATTTCATCATGATATTTATATAAAATGTGACTTTCCATTGCTTCAGGTACGACAAATAAAACTAAATTCGACTTTAACTTTTTATACAAAACACCATTTCTCATTTCATAAAATTTGCTTTCCGTTGTCTGTAATTCTTCTTTAATTCTTAAAAGTTTTGGATCTCTATTTTGACATATGACTAAGTTTTCTTCAAAGGTGTTAGTCTCTACCATCATAATTGTATGGTTTCTGCTTAATGCATCAACATGTAGCATGCGTTTGCCTGATCTATGTTCAGTCTCATAATCAAAATTTTGCATTTCTAATGCCCATCTTGCTATTCTAGGGTTAAGTTCTTTTTTATTTAGCGTAAGTGTTAGTGAATTGCAATCTGTAATTATTTTAAATTTTCGTCCGTAAAGGTAAACTCGAAAACGTCTTAAAGCGTAAATTATTGCTAACGTCTCTAATTCAAAACTATGAAATTTTGATTCTGCTGCTGTGGCTCTTTTAGAAAAATAAAAAACTGGATGCCATTTATTGTCTTTCTTTTGGACTAAGACAGCACCATAACCTAAAGCGCTTGCATCACAGTGTATTTCTGTTTCTGCCGCTGGATTAAATAATGCTAATACTGGTGATTCTAATAATTTTTCTTTTAAAAGCTCAAATGTTTCTAATTCTTGTTGGCCAAACATAAATTTTTTATCTTTTTTCGTAAGATCATAAAGAGGTTTAGCAATTATTGAAAAATCCTTAATGAATCTCCTAAAGTATGAACAAAGTCCCAAAAAGCTTTGTACTGCCGTCACTTTTTCTGGTATCGGAAAATCTCGAATAGCTTCTAGTCCTGTTTCGTCAGCCCTAATTCCTTTTTCATCAATTGTATATCCTAAATATTTAACGGAACTTTTCATAAACTCGCACTTGTCTAACCGTAACTCTAACTTATTTTCTACAACTCGCTTCAAAACTTCTTCTAAAATCTCTAAATGGTCTCTAATATTTTCTGTAGCGATCATAATGTCGTCTAAATAAATAATAACTTTACCTTGTCTAACCAAGTCAGCAAAAACTTTGTTTATAAACATCTGAAAAATTGACGGAGCATTTTTAAGACCAAAAGGCATTCTCAAAACTCGTACTGACCTAAAGGTGTAATGAACGAGGTATATTTTATTGACTCTTCATTCATAAACACGTGAAAAATCCATTTTTAAGATCTAATTTTGAAAACAATTTTTTTATTTAGTAAACTTTCTAAAAGATCATCAATCAAAGGGATCGGATAATTATGTTTGGCGGTATTTTTGTTTAGGTTTCGAAAATCGACACACATCCGTAGTTCACCTGTCTTTTTACGCACTAAAACAATAGGGGATGCATACTCAGACTCACTAGCTCTAATAATTCCTTTTGATAAATAATCATCTAATGTTTTCTGTAATTCCTGTTTTTCCACATGTGATAACCTACGAGGAGGACAATTAAATGGTTTGCTATCATTTACGACAAGTTTCATTTCTGTACGAACGTTTGGTGTATCAGGTCGTTTTGAATTAACATAAGTTTTCTTAAACATTTCTAGTAATTTATTCTTAATCTTATAATCAATGTTTTCACCAACGTTTAAATGTAACTCAGTTTCTTCTACATTTATGTTTAAAATTTGTTTTTCAAAATTCTCTTCACAAAAATTGCAGTCATTATTAAGCTTCAAATTATCTGTTATAATTTCATTTGAATCATTATGCTTTTCAATTGTACTGTTGTTTGTCTCAAACCATATGATTTTACTATTGCTCTTAGCCAAAAAATCGCGTCCTAAAATTGCGTTGTGTTTCATTGATTCATTAGCAACCACATACATTTCAACTTCAATCTTTGTGTTTATTATTTCAACATAACATAATAGTTTTCCAAATACATTTAATTTTGTTTCATTTAAACCAAAAAATATATTTTCATTACTTATTAAATTAACTCCTTTAGGTAGCATTCGTTGCTGCATAAAACTAATGGGGCTGCCGGAATCAATCAAACATTCTAAAATAAAATTTTGGTTATTTCTCTGGCTTAAATAAAACTTAAATAATCTTACATAATCATTTTGCGTTGGGGTCTTCTTCTTCTTATTCATCGGGCAGTCATTTATAGTATGGGACTCGCTTCCACAGGCATAACACGATCCAGGCTTACGTTTCGGTTTGTTGCAGTCAGCCGCATAATGACCTACACTGTTGCAGTTGTAACAACGTTCTCCCTTTTTGTAGTCATCTCGTTTTTCCTTCATAGCGTTGTTCGGGGCAGCCTCTGAATTTCGACTTGCCGGCATCTTGAGCTCCACATCAGCTAACGTACGAAGTAAATTCTCTTTGTCATCTATTTTTGCATAATCACTTGATTTTTTATTTGACGATTAGGTATACCATCAATTATGTACTCAATAAGTTCATCTTCATCAATCGTTAATTTATTGGCCAAAACTAATTTTTCGTTAAAATATAAACCAAAAGGTTCTCCAGGTTGCCACTTTCGTTGCTCAAAATTTTTCGGATGCGTAATTTGTTTTCTTTAAACTCAAAAGTTATCTTAAATTGTTGCCATAAGTCGTCCATATTTTCGCAAATCCAATTCGGTCGTGCATGTAACCAGCGGTGTGCTTCACCAGTAAGTTTAGTATTTAATATTCCACGAATCATAATATCGTTAAGACGGTAAGTTTTCCTAATATTTTCTAATTGTGTGATCCATAAATTCGCATTCGTTAAACCATCGTAAACAGACACAAAATCTTTTATAATCAGAAATGAATTTTGTCCATATCTATTCTCGTCATTTTGCGCATCACTGGCTGCGTCGTTTTTGTCAACGGAATTTAATTTCATCATTTCCAACTGTTTCTTTAGGTTTTCGTTTTCTGCTTTCAGTATGTTTAGTTCGTTTTCTTCTTCACGCATTTTTTTCTATTTCGCTTTTCTGCTCAACCATAACTGTATTGTCTTCGTCGTCTGCTTCAGCGTTGGCGCCGGTTTCTAGAATTTCGGCTGCATTTTGATGTCGTTGTAGTTTTGTAGTGTCTGAATTTCACAAATTTGTAGCTTTTTAACTTTTATCATTACTTTTTTCTTGTGGAGTTTTTGTGTTATTTTTTATTTGGCTTAACGTTTTTTGTAATTCACTCGAACTTTTTCTAATAATCGTGATTTTTAGTGTTGCTTTGTTGCCCGAACTTGGCACGTCTAATTTTTGGCATAATGTTTTTATCTCGGCTAAACTCAAATTGTCAATAATTTTTCTCCATAATGTCGTTTTTTGTTTTTAAATTGTTTGTCGGAGGAATAGCGAGTAAAAAAATTCTCTCGTTTAGCACAGTTAATCC